ACAATTACTCACACGACTCGCCTTGCCATAGAGTAATCATGGTCCCGCTGCCCCTCTCGTTACCAAGAAAAAGAAAAGAAACAGCCGACTGCCATAACTCCATCTTTCGCACGTACTTCACACTTAGCCAGAGAACGACAACAATATATTCCTTACCCATCATTCCTTTTCCAGATCCTCTGTGGTCTACGATCAAGGACTCAAAGTGCCTTGTCCCATGTCTGCGCCCGAAACACTCTATTAACTTTCCGCGATCCACGCCAAACCCCAGTCACAAGCCCGTCGACGTCAAACCATCGACATGCACGAATCGAGATGTCTTTACTCAGGATGCTAATACCTCAATTTGATTCCGCCTGAGCTTCTGTCCTAAAATAGGCACACGTGGTATTGCCGAAGGACGATTCGCTGCCTTACGCACCTGCATATCCAATTCTCACATTCATGCTCCAATTGGCTGTTACGGTCTGAATCCGACGTAGTTTCTGAAGCTTCAAATCAAGCTTACTTTCCCAGACTTGGTGGACAAATTTGCTCATGTCTATGCTTTGCGTACTTACCCGACTATAGGTTGGAATTGCGGTCCATTAGCGTTGTCTATATTTCGTACCAGATTAGTACAGAGTATCAAAGCTTGCTTGGCTGCCTGAACTTTTGTTGCTATTGTTAGCAACGATATCTGGAGTCTAGATCATAATATACCTCGAGGCAGCCTAGGTTCAAACCGTTGTCCAACTTGACAACTCAGCATATAGACACCAAGACCTCAAGAAAGATATGAGCTGATGGACTATGTTATTAGATTTTAAGACCCTTGTTACAAATCAGCCACGTTCAATGTTTTGGTCTGCACGGAACGCCAGAAGCGCAGGAGATCGTGGCAGTATTTGCGCGCGGTGCAATTGCTACAAACAACCAGTCTGTCTTTCAAGGCCTCAAGTTCAACAGTGAAGAGCAGTAGTATCAGTATGCGATATCACGGTCGTTGGCAGAACAAAACCCTGAATTATTCACATCTGACGTTGGGGAAATTATCAGATTCGGGAACAAATCATACATCTAATCCATGAAGACTACTTTCATATTCACAACGGAATTACATAGCTCCTTAATCCTTGTGAATAACATTCACTTGAGCTGAACCTTCAATAACAGTAATCAGAAAGTCGTCGACCTGCTCATTTTCTCTATACGCAAGTAAGGAACGATCCTTCCAATTTCAAGTCCCAAATTCTCAACAGACGACGACTCTCGTTGATCATACCTATCTACCATGCATACTAAGAAAGCCAGGTTTCTCTCCCAATTCCGCCTCAAGCACAATGAAAAGCAAAGAGCTCCCTCCCTACCTCCTACATCATCGTCTCAACAAGCTAAGTGTCACGCTTCCGTTTCTTCGGCTTGGGAAGAAACTGTCCATAATATTCTCGTAGTTGCGGACCCCAGAACTCCACGAACTTTATCTCCTCTTTATTCTTTTTTATGTTCTTATCGGCTTTTTTAATCATCGCTTTAACCTTTTCCAGAAGGTCCTGACATTGTTTCTCGATAGGCACCCCGCGTTCCCAGTAGCTGTCACTGTCTTGTGTCGTGTCTGGCATCGCGGGAGCGCAGGCGTGGCTGTGAGTTTTGGGGTTTTGGGGAGGAGATTCGTCGAGTCGAGCTTCTGAATTATCTTGCTTCGAAGCCATGTTTGATAATTTGAGCTCTTGTGATTGATGGAGCTTGTATGGTTGATGAGGCTTGTGGTGCTGTGGGGACGAGCTATAGATGCGAAGAAGAGATTGGGAAAAAAGGATCGGGCAGGCTGGAGAGTATCAAGTAATGGACGATCGTATGGCTTTGACAGGCGCCGGTCTCTCGTCATCGGTTGGAAAACGGTCGGAAGAGCAGGTATCCAACTTAAGACCTAGAAATGGACACCGACCATGATCATGCCGGTTGGGAACCAGAATACACAAAACTGCCGCTCCGCTCGGAGTGGCAGAAATTCACTCGGTATCCCTTCTAGCTGTCTAAGGGGCGGATAAAGTAACATGGTGAGTCAAAGGAGATCAATACCTAGATCGAGGCCAGACACAGGCCTGCTTACTTGTACTTGTAGAGCGGTAACTCGAATTGTTCGAAGCGATCAAGATTACCGCTAAGCAATGGCTGGTCTGAAAACTTTCTGTTGGACGGTCAAGCCTTGATTTCGTCCATTTCGATAAATTTGGGTCAGTCATGGAATTGTTGTTGGCCGGTCAGAGTGCATGCAAGACACGTGCATTGCTGAGCAGGTTTTGGTCAGAGACGTGGAGAGAATACCGCGTTAAATTAGCCAAAAAGACTCGAATATGAGCGACTGCTCGTTTCTAAGTGTTGTCCAATGCATATTCCTAACAGTCTTGAGCATTTTACACCCAGTTTCCAGCCTTGGTATCTTACATTTATGTATCGGGCGGGACATGTTACTACCTGAGAGTTTTCATGTTTGCGCAGATCGTGGAACACAACAAACCATCAAGATGGACCCACGGTTTTCCAGAAGGCCTTGTTGATGGAAAGTCAATGGTCTCGGAGGTCAAGAATGGAACGCGTTGGAGATGTTCATATGATCACGTGATTGCTTACTAATTCCTCGACCTCGGCACTCCAGTTGCTTGGACCTATACCTCCGCTGTTTCGGAAGTCCGGCTGCACGGACCCCTATCTCCAACTTTTATCACCTATACACTAACTTATATATAGAATAACTCTATTAACTATATCTAAAATAGCTTAAGAACTTATTCCTATTATTATTATATACCGCTTTAAAGATAACTAGGGTCCCTAAGAAGTCGGGGGATCCCCCGACCCCTTGGGGGTAGGGGGGGTCGGGAGGGGTATTTGGGTTAGGTCTAGGGGTCCCTAGGACCCCCTACCCCGACCCTAAACCCGCTAGAACCCGACCTAATTAATTAAGGCGGGTTCTTAGCTAAAAAATATAACTTTTTTATATAGTTTTAATGTTTTATTAATTACGGACGACCTATAGATATTTTATATTATATAACCTTATAGACTTATAGAATAGGTATTTCTCTATAATTCTAGCTATTTAGATCTTAATAATACCTAGGTTAAGTATTAAAATATATAACTTAAAAAACCCGACTTCTCTCTAATTAGCGGGTTGGGAGTAAAAGCTCCCCGACCCGAAAACCCGCCCTCTCCTATTTCTACCCCGGCGGGTCGGGGGTACCCCCCGACCCGACCCGACCCCTTAGGGACCCTAAAGATAATCTAAGTTTCCCTATAATTACTATAAAGCTTAATAGGGTTATAGCTAACTAAGTTTAAAAACTATATAAACGGGCTCGGGACTGCGTTAATAGTAATAACTTTAATACTATCCTTAAGAATACCTATCTATTACCTTATAGTAGTCGTCCTCCTTATATAGTACCTAGCTTATTATTATTATATCGAATACGGGCTACTAGCCGGGGTAAATATAAGTAGTAGTTATAGATTAAGGCCGCTAATTAGGTTCTAAAGAAGTCTTATATTACTATAAAAGATAGCCGCGTTTTAAAGTTATTAAATACCTCCTAAGTTTATAATATAATATAAAGCCCTATTTACGCTACTAGCGAGTCTTCTAGTATTAATTTAATACCTATTACTCGAAAAAGGGCGCTTAAAAAGCTACTATTAAAAGAGAAGGATCTAGAGTAGTAAAAGGAGTATATTTACTAGATTCTTAATAAACTTTAAGATAATACTATTCTTATAGATTATAATAAGATATCTATATAGTTTAGGGGGTCTAGCTATCGCCGAGTAAGCGCTCCGGAAGGTATTTCTATATATATAGATTAGGCTTTATATCCGGTTTTTACTATATAATAATAGGCAGCCTTCTATAGTAAATTACGTATTAAAAGACCTTATAAGATATAGAAGAAGGAGTAGAATCTTAAAGTAATAGTCCTTATTAATAAACTAGTATCTTAGAATATAGTTTTATAACGTATAGTTAACCAAAAGAGAGCTAACTATATAGTAGAAGGTATAGAGGAATTTAGGCTTCTTAATACTAAAAACGAGGAGATTAAGGCCTATAATATAATATTACCCTATAGCTAGCGTACTAGTAAACGCTAGAAGATAACGGCTAAGAGACTATTTAAATATAAGAAGCTAGAACGGGATATAGGAAAAGGGGGTATAGATTTTATATAGTATACCTTTAATATCTACTAGAATCTTCTATTTCTATATTACTAGTAAGTTAAAGGCCTTAATAAAGATAAATAAGTCTATATTATCGAGAATAATATAGGTTTATATCTTAAAGCTTGTCGTCTTATAGCGTACTAGATCTTAGAGTTTAATATTAAGTTTACGAACCTACTACTAAATTCTACGGATCTCTACCTATATAAGTATCTTTATAAGGATTAAAAGAAGCTTATTAATAACTATTAGAAGACTATACGAAGTAGTTCTACTATAGTAGTACTTAATACGGAGAGGGAGATAGTACGGATCTAGCGAGACGATAGGGATTTCACTAAATACGTACGGTTTAGGATAGATATTAGGTATTTTAAAGCCCTAGCTATAAGGTTAAAGGACTTAATACTAAATTAGAGTAATTACTATAAAGATAGCTTATAAACTAAATGAATTAAGTACATTTGTAAACCACTAAATAATGGATGTTGGTGGTCCGTGCAGCCGCACTTACGAAACAGCGGAGGTAAATTCGATCGTAACAACAAACACCTACTGACTTTTGCAATCGCATTATATGGCCAGATCAATTCCCACTCCATGCAATCTTTCCCGATCTGTTCCTCTTGCAGTCTCCTGGACTTACGTGCTCAAACTCGCCCGTCGACTATTCACTTCCCGCAGAACTCTCTTGAGGATCTATCCACAAGATGGACCCGCAGCTCTACTGAGAATTGTTCCTCTCGGGAGTCAGGACCACTCCAGCAAGCTCGTCACCTGCGGACTCAACAGTTCTTGCCGGGGTGGTCTAGTGGTATGACGTTCGCCTCACAATAGAATACTGGTCTACGTATCAGCTGAATTCCCTGGTCCCGGTATTTGGTCTGGAGATATAGCGATTCGCCTTGAGCTTTATGGCCCTTTCAATATGCGCTTTCATTTTTTTGGAATATCATAAAAGCTTTCTCCGGACAACTTTGGCAAGACCTCGTGTTCTCACATACCACTCTTGGCCGAGAAATAATTCGAGGTTCGCCTGATTGCACAAGCTTGGATTCAATTCACGGAAAGTGGGGGACATTTTTCCGAGAGGAGCTCGGTTTCCCCACTCGCTAAGACCTGGCCTCCCGTCAGTGAGCCGTTCACTGACAAGCCGAACAGCATTTTGAAGACCAAACCACAGTCTCTCCTAGCAAATTGCTGTCAGTCTTACAGGGACGTAGCATGATTGCTACTACGTACATCGAGGTTTGTTCCGTAACTCACAATCGAGGCTAGTTTCTCTATCCCTGGCCATATGAACAGAGTGATCGGGCCTTTACGTAGATTACGTCGGGTACCCAGGGTCAAGCCAGTCAGGCGAGTCAGGCGACAGGTAGGAAGCATCTCCCGTTAGAACCACCCGATTTCCCCAGACCCCAGACTTCCCGTCCCTCTCGCGTCATCCACACCCATCACCCAAAACCACGCGTCTGCCTCGCTTCTGATACAGGTCCAGTACATACCATCTTCTGCCTTTCTTCCTCCCTCCCTCCCTCCTATTCAGCTGTAACCATCTTCACCTCACTTCTTCTGTGTCCTCGTTGATCCTTTCCCCTCAAACTGCTCAGCCTCAAACGTGTCGTCACGAGCCCAAAACGCGGAGAAGCTCATCACGACCATCGTGTCTCGGTCATCTCGCCACCATTCAAACAACACCAACAACAATACCACCATGACATCGAGTATTGCGGGCCAACGAGCACCTTTCCATACAGACGTCGCAAAATCAACTGCAGCATTGAATGCGCCCCGTCTCTCCACCTCGTCACCAAACATGAGCGCCTCAGTATCCAAGATCGGCCGGGGTACGAAATGGTACGTATACATAACCCCTCACCCCCTCATTCTCCAACTTCATATAACAACCACCCCGAATCTTCCCCTTCCACAACAAATCATTCAACATCTTCTCTGAAAAAAAGGATCGCAATTTTCTAACCTATCCGCAAGGTCCGTGGTCGGCGCAACAGCCATCGCCATCTCAGCCGCCGCCGCGCTCGAATTCCGCGGCCAACAGGCATCCCTGCGCGCAAGCAAAAAGAAAGACATCGCCGACAACGATGCGAGATATCAATCGTTGCTGGATGCGTACGGGAGTGCCGATTCCCTGGAAGATTTGCAGAAGGCGGTGGGGAGTTACGAAGCTGGTTCTTCTGGTGGTAGGAGATGAGTTACTGATTTACTCCTTTTCTTCACCCACTTCTTCTTTTGGGGTTTTGGTTGCGCATTTGGAGCTCTGGACTGGCGCATGGGTGTTCTCTTTCTTTTTTTCGAGAATGGATCTCCGCTGGTTTCACGATTTACATACCCGCATCTATCTTCCGGCAGCCCGGAAGAACATCTTATCTGAAAGGAATGACGGGTACGAAAAGCAGAAGAGAAAACGCGCTTCAGGGGGATTCGCATTGTACATAACTCATCTCCCGCTACACAGAAAAATCTGTACACCCTCCATACAAGGTCTCACTCATCCCATACAATCCCACATCGGATCCACCAATTAAAGGTATTTCTCAAACCCAGTTCTAACCTAGTAGTTAAGTAGTCAAACCTACAGCATCCTCACCCTCCTCGCCGCTTGTTTTCCCAGCAAAGCCGCCAATCCATTACCTACACCTGCTCCTGCACCGGCAGCACCGGCATTTTTCCCTTTCCTCGCCTTCTTCCCTTTCTTACCGTTCGTCGTGGTGGTGGTCCCAGCACCCGCACCCGCACCCGCACTTGGAGGCGTCCCGGTAGAGCCAGCGGCTTTTGGCGTGTTTCCGCTTGCGGCGGCGCTTCCAGAGGTGGAGTTACCACTGTTTGCAGAGTTGATACCGTTGCCAGAGTTGACACCGTTTCCAGAGTTGCCATTTCCAGCGTTACCGTTTCCAGTATTACCGTTTCCAGCGTTACCGTTTCCAGCGTTACCGTTTCCAGCGTTACCGTTTCCATTTCCAGAGTTGCCATTTCCAGAACCGGGAATGATGCCGCCGAGCTGTGGAGTCGTGGTGTTGGGTAGAGGGGATATTGCGGGAGCGGAGTTGCCGTTGTTGTTGCCGTTGTTGCCGTTGTTGTTGTTGTTATTATTGTTGCCGTTATTGTTGTTGTTGTTGTTGCCGGTATTACCGTTGCCGTTGGCGCCAGTGTTTCCGTTGTTGTTGGTGCCGGTGTTGCCGTTGTTGTTATTATTGTTGTTGCCGGTATTACCGTTATTGTTGTTGATGCCGGTATTACCGTTACCGTTGTTGTTATTATTGTTGCCAGTGTTGCCGTTGCTGTTGATGCCGGTATTACCGTTGCCGTTGTTGTTGTTGCCGGTATTTCCGTTGTTGTTATTATTATTGTTATTATTATTGTTATTGTTATTATTATTGTTATTGTTGTTACCATTGCCTGTGGAATTATTGGCTGCCTGAGTCTGGCCTCCTGGAAGACCTGAGTGCATGTTTAGTGATTGAATCCCCTAGGTTATGAGTCCATGAACCTACCACTTCCAATACCAGACATACAAGCATTCGGAACGCCCAAGACTTGTCCGTCTCCCTTGCCTTGTGGGCTGCCATTCGGAGTACCCTGAAGAAACACGTCAGCACCCGAATGCGGAATCATCAATAGAGTGACTGACCGGAACATTTGGGAAAGCAGTGCTATTACCGCTAGCCGCCGCAAGGATATTTCCGCAGGCATCTGGTCGAACAGCACGTCGTTGTTGCGCGTTTTGACCAATATACTCAGCAGCGACCAGCATATAAGTATCGATACTGGGCAAGATCTGAACACATCGGACTTGGTTGATGGCGTCGATCAAGTTGACCTTGCTGGTACCTTGCATAGACATAATCTGCAAGTTGTCCACGACGGACTGGAACACACCATTCGTGAGTGTCAAGTTGGCGATCGAAACGCGAGGGTCATTGCCGATGACTTTGTCGAGGACGGCCTTTTGCGAAAGCTCATCGACCTCAGCCTTGAAAGCACCATCGGCGATACCCTTGAATTGCTGGGCATCCATAGCGTTGAGACCAGCGTTCTGGAAGGCCGAGACAATACCCGTGTCCGTCTGCCAATTGCTGATGGCAAGTTGCATGGCCTGTTTGGTCCTCTCATCGATTGGTCCAGTTGGTCCACCGGTTGCACCGGCTGCCGCTCTTTGTGCAGCAACGAACGGTCCGAACGTGCCTTGGCTCGTTGTTGGATCAAAGTTCGGATTCGGGTTTGGATTAATGCCTATGAAGTCAGCGATGGGATCAAAAGCAACGTCAAGTATTAATACCAGGCCCTGCCGCAACGAGAGCGGGAAGAAGAGAGACAAAGAGTGATTGGATAGATGGCTTCATGGCTGATCGGTATGATGTAAGAATTGAAAAAATAGAATACACAGAGAACCGTGCTTGCACAGCAAGTGTGAGTACAGAACGTATGCTATCAAAGCAGCCGCTATCAAAGCGAATTAAGAAAGTGGATTGAAGGTGAGCAAAGGAGTGTGAGACTGCAGATCGTGTGAGCGGCCATCGCCTGCAACCCCACCTATAAGACTATATAGAACTGCAGTAGAATTGCAAGAAGGAATCCAGACATCGCTCCATTGGCCGGCCTCGACTTGGCAGTATGAAAGTTGACATCACCTGCCAGGCGTGAAACCATCCCTTCGTGATGGCAGAGTGTGGCATTTGCGTGAAGAAGGCGAGAAACAATTCTACGCTGTGCAGAGAGGAGGATGGAGGAAATGTCCAAACGCCAAGTTCCATCAATTGCTTAAGGATCTGTTTCTCAGGACTTCATGACACGCGAAACAAGGCAGCCTTCCTGGATCGCGCCTCAGCTGAGCCGTATTTGAAAAGGTGGTTGAATTTGGACCGGCAGATATGAGTAAGAAGACCTATCTTGTACCGATGGTAGTTGTACGTCTCCTTGTTATAGAATCGAGCTTGCTTTGTCAACGATGAGATGAAGATGAACAGCCAGATGCAGGTGGAGAAGTCGAGTAGCTTTCCATGCTACAACAAAAAGGGTGGTTGCTGAACCCTTCACTCGACGAAACGTACCATGTCCCAAGCCTGCACTCCCGTTTGCGTCTAAACTCTGACACGCCACACATACTGAAAAGAACATGGAACGTGATTTTGACCCTTCAAAAATCAAAATAAACCATGACGGCAAGGAAATGCAATATACTTCGCGCACCTTTGCACGACGTAAATGAGATGAAGTCTCGTAAAGCTGGGTATCAGCCCATCACAGCCTAGACAGTGTTCCCTTCTTCAAGGACGCCACATCTTCTAAGTTCGAGCTTGGCAAGCTGGGTCTGTCCATACATGTCGCAAAAAGTATCGTCCCTATTCATATGGGTACTTGATGCTGATGCGCGGTCTAGTTGGACGATGTTTTCGTAGTCTACTCAGTGTGCTTATACCCTCGGAGAATTAGTCGAGGGAGTATGTCCAAACCAAGGACTACGCCCAGCTCTAGCCTGTATCACCGTATCAGTAACGCAACCAAAGTTTTTGTCATGGTTCAACTTCAATAATAAGAACTGCCAATCTGTCGTGTTCACAAAAGCAGTCGGCAGGAAACCGTGTATGATCGATACGAACCAGCCAACAAGACCACAACGTTTGGATTCATGTCCGGTGTCGATGCCTATGCCTACGCTCATTGAAACGTTGCTCGAGCGTACACGCGGCAAACAGCCCTCTTTTATTCTTCTACTGTGTTCGTTGCGCATATACCATCCATGATGCTTGATAAGATATTCCTTCTCTTACTCGGTCATTGGTGTAGCAACTGCTGCCATGATCGTGGTAGCTGATCCTCATGCGCTTTACAGGGTCGGGTGCGCGACGCGTCGTGTCGG